TGAGATGTTAGGCTATTCTGAGAACATGTAATTGCGTGTCCACAAGATTATCGATTACTTTGAAGATCTCTTCCTGTATGGGTCTCCATGGTCACTGACTGTGCAATTTGCTGGAAAGAGCACGCAAAGTCGCGTAAAAACGTGTCTCTAAATCAAGTTAAATCAAGACTAGAAAATCCCCGCTTTAGCTGAGCTAATTCGTTTTGATATTCTAGTCCAGAAGTTGTTTTAGTGCCAATTACAAATTTAGAATAAAATTTGCGACAGACAAAGCTATTTGACGGCAAATTATGAGTTCCCTCGTTATGAGTTTTTGGTGTTAGGAATTTTTGAATAGCATTTTTCAAAATTATTGGAGCGTTATATTACACTATACGTATATATCATCCTTCGTTTTAGCAAAGAGCACATCACTAAATATAAAATTATAAAATGTATCTTTAAACACAACTTCCTGCTTAACCAATTCTCGGAGCGTTTCCATTCCACAAAGCATAAGCTATTCAATTTAACTTTCGGATTTAATCGACATGTTATTGATTAAAAAACAGCGATTTAAAAGAAAAAGGAATAATAATAATAACAAAAAGTATTTCAAAATACGTTTTTATTTAAAATTCATAAAAATCTTAGGAACAACTTTCTGTCAATAATAATAAAATCTTGTTATTTTAGAAGTCAAACAACAAAAGTCAGCGTTATATTTGCAAATTTTCCAGACAATTTCGATGGTTTTACTATTGAGCCATCTTCCTCAGCTGCCAAAGTGCAAAATCATCGAAACTAGTCCTGGAAAATTTTCAATTATAACGCTAACTTTTGTTGTTTATCTTTTAAAATAATCGTTGTTCAGCGTGCTAAAATAAAAGCCTGGTTAATCTTTAATAAATGTAGAAAACTTATGTGTTTGTCAATAAAATTCGATTGTTAGATTTTCTTATTTGGGCACACCCACTTTTTTACTCGTGATATAAAATTATAGATTAATTGTGTAAAGAGAATAGTTATTTAATCTCTTGCTCCTAAAAAACTATATTGTGAGATGCCATCTTTCAAGACCGACAGATGGCGCTGCACGCTGTCTGACAGAACTTTTTGTGAAAATAATGCAGACGAGTCCTCCATGACAGCAAAAGATGAGTAAGACGCATAAAAATGTATATGATGCTATAAAGATGAAATAACTTTTAAATCCATTTTTCACAATGAGTTAACAGTTTTTACAATTATTTAAATCAAAGCGTTGAAAAAAAGAACTTACAGAATATTCATTTACAAGTTTTAAATAGCTTCAGACGTACCTGTTTGGCAATATTATCAGGAATATATTAAATTATTTTTAATGGCTGAACATGCTGAAAAGAATGAAGCACAAGTACAGCGTTAGCACAAAATGTTTTTAAGACTTCTGCATCTGAACATCTAGCCAAAGAATGTCTATGTACATATTCTTTGATCTAGCTAGAATCCTCTCTCGCCAATATATCGCTTGGCGCTTCGTTTGTTTTTGAGGTTGCAGAATTTCATTATGAAAAAGGTGACACGTATTTATTCTAATACTATCAGATTCAAATTTTGTAACCACACTATTTCTGGATAACAACAGAATACGGTGAATCGAATTTTTTACAATTCTATTTCGATTTTTTAAAATTTAATGATGAAATAATTTTTCACACGTATATTCGCTTAACCTACGGGGACTGAGATATATATGTCACATGCATTGACTACATAAGGCTCAAAGACTTTAAGACCACTTTAGAGACTTAAAAATTGCTGAATAAAGTGGAATGGAATGCAGAAAAACCTACCCAATCGTTTGTCTTTAATTTCCTGCCTGAATGCTTGTTTAAATGGCAAAAATGAATAGAAAATTGATGTCTATAGCACACGGGAAAAGGTTGAACAAACTAAAATTACTGTTTGTGCAACTGGATAAAGCGGAAAAATTTATACCAAGTTTTTTAACGCGACTTTCGGTTTTTCTTAGGAAACTTGTTGGATATTTTCGAACATCTTATGTAACAGGACTGTTGAAAGTAAAAGTATGATTACTCATTGATGAAACAATATTTTTCAACTGAATAATTTGTTTATAACTAAAAAGATGAAAATTAATTAAATAAATAAAATAAAAATAAAAGACAGTTCTCATAAAATACGATTTTATTTAAAAGCGGTCTCTCTTTTATCTTTCCCTACCACCAAAGCATACGTGAAGACATTCTGCTCGTCTTATACAGGGTATCTGAAAAGAAAAAATCTCATGTGTACACCACATGACTTCCTTGTACGGAATATTAAATTATACGCATTTTTTCTTGCATTTTATGTAAACTTATTAGATTGAATTAAACCTACTTCGCCGAAAGCACATAAACCATAATAGAATAAATGCATTCTTTAAAATTCACTTTGTTTACCATAGCGACACTCTGATGCTAGGTTTACTTAACAGTATTATATTTCATTCATATTATAACTCAGAATGCACAAAATTTATATCATTTAAAGAATTATCTAATCGTTGCCACATGTTCTATTCAAATACTATAATAAAGCTAGAACTATGTATAAAAGAAATTAAGGAAACAAAACAAAAATGAAACAGTTTTTCACAGACGATTAAGTATTTCTCATTCAATTAATTCAGTTCTCACTTCGCGACAAGGCAAAAATACATAAGAACTCAAAATATCTGTATTAAAAATTACGAAGTAAATCTTAAACGCTTATTTCCTCGAAAAAATTCCAGAAAGGATTAAGTACGATTTAATTCACAATAATAAATGAATGCGTTATCTTTGTTGTTGCGAAGCTAAGTTTCTCTAGATTGGCAACAAATCCACTAGTCTCCTGTTTCAAATGTAAACATCAATGGCCGCCATCAAATTAGGCTTAGCGGCACTTAAACAATTTTAAAATTGTTGATAATTCTAAAAATATTGCATACAGATTTACTAAAGGCATAAAACCCTTAACCGGAAGATAAAAACAACATAATCATTTTTAAAGCAAAAAATGTACAATTTACAAACATATAAGAGTAAAGAAACTGAGATCACTGAGCCGGGTAACAGAGCAGATATATTTATAAATATATTTATCTACGTTTGGCGGCGGCCGATTGAAACCAAAATACGAGGTGCACATCTACACATGTTATAGCAGTCTTATATACAAAATTTCAACACTGTTTCTGAGGATACTCGTTTTTGAGTTATGCCAGCTAGATACGTACGTACATACGTTCGTACAGACGCCACGAAAAAATTCTTTTCAGAATTCATTTTAAAGCAGTTTTTTAGTTTTTTTTGGAGGAAAAGAGTCTTTTATTCTGTCCTTACGTACAGATATCACGCAAAAACATCGTTAAATTGCATTCGAAAGCGGTCAAAGTGGTATTTTCGTTGAAATAAGCTGCCTGAAGATTTTCGAGATTACAATATTTCCTTTTTACTTCGTACAAGGAAGTAAAAAGGATGCCAAAAGAGGTGTTATAAGGTATTTTTTCCCTCATTTCAGCCTGCCTTCGTGGTGTAACGGTTAGCACCCTCAGCGCGTATTCGAGAGATCCAGGTTCGAGTTCTGGCGAAGGCACTGCTCAATTTTTGTGTCTCTTGCTTCAAAAAATCCTAATGACTCTACAGTGGCGCCCGAACTAAAAGGTGGTGGATGATGATTCTTCGCCACCAGGATTTGGCGATTGTGTTCCTTAATTCTCAATCACCCTTTGAAAGGGGGTTATTTTCTCCCTCATTTCGGTATGCCTTCGTAGTGTAACGGTTAGCACACACGGCGCACATTCGAGAGATCCAGGTTCGAGTCCTGTCGAGAGTATTTCTCATTTTTCGTGTCTCCGGCTTCAAAAAGTCCTATAGACTCTACAATGTTAATATGACTTTTATTAAAGAACACAAACAAAACAAAAGAGTTAACAGAAGAAGTTTGTTTTGTTTACAAAAGAAGAAGGTAAATATTCGTTCCATTTGCCACAATGCATGCTTCAGAACGTCGACGCATGGATTTGACCCGTTCAAAATGGGCAGGTGTGTCATCGATACATGCCGCCGCTTCCACGATCCTGGCGACGAGATCCCTATCCCATGTTACGATTGTCTCGTACACCATAGACACTGGTAGAAATCTGGAGGAGTCAGACAGGGGATAACGATGGCCATGCGACTTGTCCGTCTCTGCCGATTCAGCAATGAGGGTATGTCCTATCGAGTTATTCTCGCACAATGCTGCTAAAATGTGCAGGCGCTCTATCACGCTGAAACCAGATGTTTTGGCTTGTAGCTGCTGAAACGTCAACCATTAGATCCGACAACACTCTTTCCACAAAATGTTACACAAAATATTCATAAAAAACTGAGTTAGTAAACCGGCTCACTTTCTGCTGCAACGTCCTCACCTGAAATGATCCCACTTTCCACTAACCCATAAGTCTGCATACATTTCATTTAGCGGTCGCCATTCGATTGTCAGAGACAAGTTCCTATGTAAATCTTTTAGTCACGTTATGACATAGCAGCATGTTCAGCTTGGCAACGACCTTTAGAGACATCCTGTACATAGCGTACTCTTACGCAGCGAAGGCACCACATGATTGCAACATCCATGCTTCCGCGATTCGAACTCGGGTCTTTTGGTGTGGCAGTCAGACACAAAGCGCTATCCTGTTCGGCGGCGCATTTTAGAGAGGTAATCGCATCGGAAGCTCTTAAATCTTATTCGCTCTTTTAATTTACTTATGCATTTTGGAGTGAATGAGCGAAATAGCAAGAGCAGCTGGAAAAAACAAACAAACAAAAAGGCTAGCTTATTTTAGCAAAATATTAAACCCGGTGAAAGTATCATTCATTTTTATTTGTATAAGATGGTTATTTGTGGGCATTTTTCTTGGTCAAAGTTTGATGCTACTGCTAGACTTTATTTGGTTTATGCTACTGAAATTTAGCTTTTAAATATCTTTAAAATAGTATTTCACTTACACCGAGATCCCGGAGGTGTTTCCTTGGGCCAATTCCTGACAGCAAAAGCAGATGGGGAGAACCAATGACTCCAGCACTTAGTATGATTTCTTTCTTAGCTCTTATCCGGTAGCTTTTTCCAGAGTACAAATTAATTGTATCCACACCTACTGCTCTACCGCTTTCAATAATGACCTGGAAATAAAAAATATAAACATTAGGGCATATGTTATTGCATAACGAAAGAGAAATCGCAAAATTATACGAAAAATTTGATATGAAGTTGCGTACACTAATTCATTTGGCACCTAAATGCACTTTGAACAAATAAAATGTAAGGTATATTTTAATTTTATAACAGTTATTTTTACTTCAGTATACTTTCCTATCGATTCTTGTTTCAACTTACAACTCCCTACCAGAATGAGATTTTAAAATCGCGTTGAATGCAAATGAGTTAGAAGTAGTATTAAAGGAAGATTAAACTTGCTTCGTGAGAGACAGCTAGGAATCCCGAGTAGCTCGCGTTTGCATTCCGGCTAAGCTATTACGCACGGCCGTATTATTACGCGCCTTTTGATGTTCGCTGGCTAGTTTAAACTGAGCGCCAGCTGCGTTAGATTTGTGTTAGCTTCGGCTAAGTCTCTTTTAGTCAGTTCTAAGTCAGCTCTTATTTCTTATTTTTGAGTTTAAGTTCAAGTGGAGGCTTTGTTGTAAGTCCGAGAAAGGAGCCGCCAGTTCATCTTATTTTGAGAGAAATAAAGAGTAGTTAACCCTTATTAGTTTATTAGGTACTATTCTGTGCTTTGAGGACCGTAAAAAAATTGCAGCGAAAATGTATGCGCAAAAACGCCAAATCTAGCAAACGCGTCAATTTAACAGCGCGCCAAATCTAGCATACGCGCTGATTTCAGACTGTGTAAGTTTATATAGTTCTATATTTCTTAAGACGCCATTGAAATACTAGTTTAATTTTTAAATCCCTTTTTATATTTTAAATCCTTTTTTGATATCCTATGGATTTAACAATTTGGGAATTGTCCATAATGAAAAGTCTGCAATAGAATTTTGGGTAAAGACCAGAATCACCCACTGCTTGACGCGTTTTCAAGAATTGCACATACTCGGTATCCATGTGCACATCGACCTGTTTTCACTTAAAAAAATATCCTAGAATTGCACAAAAATGGCACTGCGCACATCCTTGACTTTATCTATGTACACATCGACCCTATTTTCACTTAAAAAGTAAAAGAAAATTGACAAAAATCCAATTGTTTTTACCCTTGTAAAAAGCGCCAAACAAATAAATGGGCGATTCTGCACTTTACCGAGAATTTTGTCAAAGAAAAGGCATCATTCATTATAGAAAAATATGTCTGAACAACCAACGAGATGAAATTATGCTTTAGCGATAACTCGGTAGCGAAATAGCGATTCTGGCATCCATTCAGTTATGTTCAGCAATTTTTATATAAATTATAATAATGATCTGAAATAGTTATTTACTCCTATGCTTCCACTCAGTTATGTTTAGCCTTTTTTATATAAATTACAAGCAACTTCTCTGCCAGCCTTCGTCTGGCTTTTAAATGTAACGGAAAAATGGCTGAGGGAAACACCAAACGTTAAATTTAAAAACTGGGCTAATCTTTGGAATATGGTAACAGGTAATAAATTCAGAAGTCAAACAACAAAAATCAGCGTTATATTTTCAATTTTTGTTGTTTGACTTCTGAATTATTATTTGTTCGGCGTGTTATTGTGTCTTAATTATGGTAACAGGTAGTTTGGCTACATTTTGGTAAGGCGATAAAGGTTACTAGCTAGGACTTTAGCAGTGTACATAGATAAAGTCAAGAGTGTGCGCAATGCCATTTTTGTGCAATTCTGGGATTTTTTTTAAGTGAAAATAGGTCGACGTGTACATGGATGATACCGTGTATGTGCAATTCTTAAAAACGCGGCAAGCAGTGGGCGATTCTGCACTTTCTTCCAATTTCGCACCTAATCTTCGTCATGATTAAGTACTTTTGTTCCATAAAAGTTCTAGCATAAGCGTAATTCGGTTAGCAGATTGTTGGAAAAAAAAAAAAAAAAAAATACTAGCAGGTTGCTGTGGCAGTGTTGGTCGCCAAAAAATCGCCAAGTTACCATAATCCGAAGATTAACAATAAACTGCGTAGAATTTTACTCTGCAGGACAACTTCATAAAAAAAAGTTATTACGTATAACAAAATTACAATAAATAAGCAATATCCATTAATACAAATATTAATTATCCTATTAAATAAATTAACCAACTTCCTTTTGCAAATCTTAAGAACTCAATAAGAAATACGATAAAAATTTTTGCCAAACCCATATTTCTAAAAGAATGAAACTATTCAAAATGATGCGATTTCATCAAAAATCTATCAACAACAATAAGAAAGGAAAATTGTTGCCAAAATCACATTTTTAAAGATGTGAGAAGTGTACTCATAAGCTTCATTTAAAATGTTTTTTAAAAATACAAAATATTATCATTTTTCCAAAATTCTTTTTGTAAAAGCAGTCGCAAGGATGAAAGCTTAACGTATCCAAAAATCAAAGAAAAATAAACTGTACATTTTTAAAAATAAACTTTTTTAGAAAAAATCCTGTTGAAAAGGTGTTAAGCTCACTTTGTTAAATAAATTCGTATTAATCGATTTATTGAAACACGAAATTTATTTTAAGTTCGTAAAATAGCTAAGTGTCTACGTTTCATGATGATAATAAAAAAGTATTATATGAAATTAGCCTTTCATATACTATTAGACTCAAATTTGCCCACGAGCGGCAGAGCGGTAAAGCCGCTGAACACTGGTAGTTTGGTCCGAGTTTCGAATCCATATAAATGGCTGCATGCGCGTTTTCGTAGTTTTCCCCATCTGTAACGTGTATAAGAGCCAGTTTCCCTTAAAACGACCTCCATGAAGGCATCTTCCCTTAGGCAGATAGACCCGCGAGGCTTTGCCGTAATAACATAAACCTAAACCTATTAGAATCGAGGACTGCATTTTTTGAACGCGTCTAGTATTGCGAAATTAATGAAAATAAATTTTAGCCAGGATATGTCTTAGTCACATAATTTTTCCCTGGAGAGAGAAAATTTATCACTAAATATGGCAGTGCTTATTCATTATTAGCATGTTACGATAATCATCATGCTATAATAATCAAGTCATTCACACCCAATCATGCAATAAATGATATTTGAAGATAAGAAATTTAAGACTGACGTACAGTATAGCAAAAGAAGGATTCGTATCAATGGAGGCAAATGCAATTACTTGCAATCGGGAGAAAGGAAATCCATTGGCATATCTACAGGGGAGCGGAGGGGCTTTGTTTCTCCTGTTTACAAGTAATTGCGATTTGAGGGGCGGTCCGCCCTGGTGGCACATATTTAGGAGCGGAACGTTTTACATGAAACATTATTTTATAGGAGTTAGTCACAGGTGGCTTATCGAGGCAGATGAAGAATAATTAGAGTCTAAATCGCCATATAGAATTAATTTGAGAAGAAAGCGTTTTTACGTTAGGTAAAACATTCGAAGAAATTCCCACACGACTTCAACATGCTGCATACTTTTTCTATAACTTTTCTTTTTTCTATTTTGTCGAAACTTTTAAATGTAAATAACGAATTTCAACTAATTTGTAATCACGGTCAACATTAATATAAAAGAATTCCTCATGAAGAAAGAAGTATTTTAGAGTTTTAATTTTATTATTGCCTGAGAAATTAAAGTAGGAACGTGAAAGGGCGATTCTTTTGAATTTTTTTAATTCTAAAATACAAGATCCAGAACAAAGTCCCAAACACTGTATTACTAGAGTGAACTTTCATGCCAGCTGTGAGAAGCGTTTTCTAAATAAAAGTAATTTAATTTCAGAACTACGAATGTATATTTTGCATTTAAGAAATGTTTTCTCTGCTGGCTACATAACAACAAGAACATTCATACAAACCTCTACAAAGTCACTTATGGTTTTGTGAACAAAAACGCCTGCAAAATAATATAATTTAAAAATGTTAAATTAAAGTTTTTCTTCAAAAATAAGCGTAAAGTTTTAATTTATTCCCCTACATGTCGATGTGACATTTTTTGTAGCTATTCGCTTGTATATCAAGAGGGGCACCTAATTCAGGGACCGCCCAGGCTCAAACTCAAGAATCGTCCGAGGCAGCAAAAGCTACGCCACTAACAAAATTCTGGTCTCAGACACAAATCGGTTACATCTGTTCAAAAAGTTGTTTTCAGAGTTACAAAGGTGACCTTATTTTCTCCCTCCTTTCTGCGTGTTTTCGTGGTGTAACGATTAGCGCGCTCGGCGCGTTTTCGAGAGGTCCAGGTTCGAGTCTCGGCGACAGCATTGCTCATTTTTCATGTTTTCTACTCAAAAATATCATAATGACTCTACAGTGGCGCCCGAATTAAAAGGTGGTGGATGATGATTCTTCATCATCAGGATTTGGCGATTGCGTCCCCTAATCCTCACTCGCCCTTTAAAAGGGGGAGTATATAAAGTTTTACGTGGATTACACGTTCCACCAACCAGGTTTCGGCACTACGCGGAAAATCCAACCTTAGAGTCAGGCCCAGGGGTTCAAGCTCTAGGACACGCCAGGCCCACCCGGGTGGACCGATAAGTGATCTTTCCGGAGCCTCCAGAACCTCTAGGTTCGTAATTTGTATACCCCCGTGGCCGAGACTGCTTAGGTACAGATCCTAGCCAGTAGCTTCGCAGAGTGGAGTACATAAGGTATTTTCTAGCGCCTTCGTGGTGTAACGGTTAGCCCACTCGACGGGTATTCGAGAGGTCCAGATTCGAGTCCCGGCGAGGGCATTGCACATTTTTCATGTCTCTTGCTCCAAAATAACCTAATGTCTCTATAACCTAGCTATGAGTCATTATCAAAAAACTAAAGGAACAACTATGAAAAGGTGCTTTATGAAAATCCTGTTATGCGAAGTCTATGAAAGGTAGTTGGTTGGTAGCTCAAGGTCAGTGTTATTACGTAATGGGATTCACCTTTGCTACACATAAATATGCAGATTTTTGCGCCTGTTATCTCGGCACATATGGAAAGAGGATACCTCAGAGTCTAATTCCAAGGATTGTATGAGTAGCTTTATAAGAGCTTCGCGTGTAGGAGATGGAAGGGTTCATTGAGAAGGCATTGGACGGATTCTGAAAAACGTGCGATAAGAAGAATGGAAGCAGAACAGACAATGGTAAGGATTTGTAACGACTTAAATGTAGCCAAACGTTTCATGCCAAGAATATGGAAACGTGTTATGTGCAAACAAGTAGTTTAATGTCGAGTGCTAGAATGCCACAACAAACTCTCAGGATCGTGTTTTGGCAATTATTGCTAAAAGAAGTTGTAACGATTATGTTAATTAACTCATGATCTTTTAGTCTGATCTGCGGATCCCTTCTAATTTTCCTTAGTTCTCACCAGAATGCAGATCAGGTACCTGTAGTTTAGAGTTCTTGGAAGGTAGGCAGAGAGAGCTGTGGCAGCGACGTAAATCGTCATGATATTTTCCGCTCGGCTACGGTATCCGTCTTTAGCCTATAACGTAATTTATCCCTCCTCTCCGCATGCAACAGTGATGTAAGTGGAAGCATACTCGTCGCGTATTCGAGAGGTCCAGAATTTGAGTTACGGCGACGGTACTGCACATTTTTCCCGTTTTCTTCCTTTAAAAAAAACCTAATGCCTCTACAAGCCTTTTTGGCTAACCAAATTACTCGCGAATTCAGTTAAAATTGAACCAACACTTATTAGGCCGTGCGTTTATCCCCGCCATTAATTTTTAAATAAAAAGATTTGTTTCAGCTTACTTTTGACTTAATTGTTACGTTTATAGACGGAGCGATAAGCTGCCTGCCTGTCTCAGGAGAGGCCAATTAAGCTAATAAGGAAGAAGTAAAACCCTACAGCGTAAGCAGCTGACCTTAGCCTAGACTGGAAAGGGAGTTCGCTGTAGCTGCAGGTACTTGACTGTATACAGGAGTGACAGGCTGTATGGAAGGAAACCCATCGTTTGCGTCCCTCTAACTCGAGTCGTAAAATGCACCTACTTGCAGTGGTGCAGAAGTAATCGTGGTTCTAGTTCCAAGGATTGAGCCCAGTTTTTTTGCTGATGAGTCTGTTTCCTTTTTGTTTGTTTGGAGAGTGCTTCCGGAAGTGTTACAAACTGAAGGGAGCAAAATACAAGCAATAAGCCTGATAATAGCCGAGAAAACCATTGATACGAAGGTGGTGGAATCATGGTATGGGCATATTTCATTCTGAATGGCCACATTGACCTACACGTTTTAATTGGTGCAAGCCATGAAAGCTAAAATGCAGCCATCATTTATGCTCAGGTGAGTTTTTGCAATATTCTCAAAATATTTAGTTAGAATATGTTAGGAAGGATAGCAGTTTTACATTTTTTGCAGCTCACGTTATAAGTAACCATGATTTTATCACTCTTTATTGAAATAACAAAATACAATCATTTAATATCCGCTTGCGCTTCTGTGAATATATCTAATTTCATAGTGATTTCATAAAATATAATTTCATTGTGAAGTAAAAGGTCGGAATGTAAATTAAATATAAATTTAGTTCCAAAAAATACAAATGCTGTTCTATTTTTTACCTCCGTGAAATGGTAACAAAAACCGAGTGACGTCATTGAAGAGTACAAAGTAAAAAGCATAAGTGATTAAAGAAAATCTTAGAAACATCGAGCAAGAGACTGTAAAAAAATATAAAGTGCTATACAATTGTTCGAAAAATTAATCTCCTTTGCTTAAACGCTGCAAACAGAACTTTTCAAAGGAAAAGTGTTTTAAACTCCGTTGATTAATGAGTTCCAAATACATGTTTCGTTCCTCTGAACCATTTAAGACTTTTCTATTCATTAATCATAAATTTTAAAATGTTATTACGAACGAGTCTCAGATACGCTCATATCTTTCCCCTACATGCGCTAGTACTCAAAGAAAACAAAAATACATAAAAATGAACAGTAATCAGTAAAAATAAACAGTTTCAGATACAAATGCTAAATTGGAACATAAAATACTTCAAAATTTTCAAAACTGAATGAAACAAATAAATGGGGCAAAAAAACCTAAAAGGACAAAATTGACAAAAATTAATTAAGCATGAAACTTCTACATTTAGTTAGTTGAAGAAACAAAATGATAAAATTGTCAACAGTCGATGTACAAGATACGAAAGCAGGGCTGGTTCAATTTAACCTAAAGAACGATGTTCAATTTTTTTTCCTATTTTTCGTTTATTTTTGTGTAAAATTATGTGAAACAGCTAAAACGGGAATTAAATAAAACTAAATGCTGGAACCACCGTACTTCTTATAGCTGTTTATGTGCATACAGAATAACTAGTCATGAACTGTTTTTTGGTCATTGGCAGGCTGTGTATACTATTTTTTATGTCTTGAAAGAAATTTCAAGAGGCAAACGGATTTTTTTCTTTTTCTTCGAAAGCAAATTATTTTGTTCTAAATTAGATCAGGTTAGATTGTTGGAACATGGTAAAATACCCGATGGTTATCTGCAGCAGGAAAGATGCTTTTGTGAAGGACTTTATAAGATAAATTTACTCGTATTGATGTTGAACACGGAAAAACTATGAAAACTCCCATGCAGCCAGTCCGTTCGCTAGGAATCGAACCTAGATCGAAGTACCAGTATCCAGCGGCCTTTAAAATTTGAAAACTGGTGGAGTCTTTTGTTCTTGTTGGCTTGCAGTTCTTGCCTTTATTGAAATACTACCTATCATAATATTCTTCTATAATCAGTCTACTTGTTTAAAAGTTATAATAATGGGGCTTATTAACAGAGAGCGCAATAAATGAATAAATTTATTTCCTTAAAAAGTCAAGAAAACAGAATAATCAATCTGCAAAAATAAAATTAAAAAGCAAACGTAAATAAAATTTTCATTTCTTCATTTAAAAAATTCAGTTTCTGTTACGAATTTTTGAAATAAAATTCCACACCTTAATGGCAATCGTGTTCGTCAACAGGTGGATGCTAGACATTTCCATAACAGGATCCAAGTAGGCATCGAAAGCTGATACTCGCCAACCATTCAATGTATTGCCTGAAAATATTAGAAGCATGTACTAAATCGAAAGGTAAAGTGAAATACATAATACAGAGATTAAAAACTATTTCAAAGTTTTAAAAAGATCCCAAGTTATACAATTTTTGTTAAGTTTTACCATGAATTTTAAACAGCGAAAAGCAACAATGAATTTGTTAATAACCAAAATAGTTACCTGCCACCTTCCGAGATACATTTGAAAACTGAAAGTTTTCAAATGTATCTCGGTACTTCTACCCTTCTAAGTTGTCCTTAAGTCTAGGATAGCGAATTTTTAATTTATTTGGTTTTGTCAATTCAAAATTATGAAACAGATTACTACATACTATAAGAAACAATTCTGCTTATCACATTATGATACACAGTGTTAATGATGATGTAGATTCATTTTTATAATTTAAGTTTGTTTTTAATTAAATCAATTATATTTCATGTTCTTTCTGAATACTGTTGTTACAAATTTTGTATTTAGATAGGTAATTTTAGTGAAATTATAACAGAAATTGTTGTATTACCCCGTGCAATGTACCGCGAGACAAATTTTAAGAGAAAGCTATGCCGGAAAAGTAAGAATACTGGGGCACGTGCATTTAACATTGAGTAAAAGGTTATCTCGATAATTTGTATTGAAACTGAATAAATGTAATGACCACTATGGTAGCTATAACCGTAATTACATCCTCTTATTGCATTTCTGAAATTTCGAGAAGCAGAAAGTACTGGAAATTTCTCGGGACCGGTTGAAAGCTATAAAAGGTCGGAGAGAGACAGTTACTTATTTACTATTGTTATAACTTGTTTAGTTCCGCGTGAACTGAGATATCCGCGCTAGCTTTCTCTTTAGATTCGCTTTGCATGAAGTTGTGTTTAACGTTTTTTTTAGTAGTTTGAAGTGTAACTACTGATTATACTGCGTGATATTGTGAACACTTGTACGAGTATCTCTGAGGAAAATTTCAAAGTTCTGATATATTTCTTTTGACAAGAATAACTTTTATTAACCTATTATCGGACTTGTGCATTCAATCTATTACTCACGCAACAATGTGTTAGTTTGCTAGTTTATTGCTAATATGAACTTGTAAGGATTATGTTAATTTTATTAACAGTTTAAATAGCGTTAGTTTAGTGTTGAGAGTTAAATTTTAAGTTCCTTTCCTGTCAAATTCTTAACTTCAACGTACTACTTCCGGCCAGAACGTAGTTTTAGAATCACGTCTGAATACATAATGAGGAATAGCGGTATTTAAACCGCCAAAGTTACTTGCAGAGTTAGAGAGAATCAGAGTTTCTGATTGACGAGTTAGAGAGAATCAGAGTTTCTGATTGACGAGATCTGCCTTTTGGGCCACTACTCTCTCTCAAAGCTGTTATTACGCTCTGCCGTACTCAGACCCTTGATAAGCTTCGTAGTCAATCTAGGTGTTAAGGGGCAACTCGATCAGAATCTTGATAGCTTCGGCTATATTTCTTAAGTTAATCTTAGGTTTAGTTTAATTCTTGGTCTCTTAAGTTCAAGTCCAAGCGTCGGCTTTGATTGTACACTCCAAGGCGGAGTTTTGTTAAATCTTATTAAAATAATAAAGGGTTAGTTACCTTTCCATTTTGTTGTTTCTTGTCACACGAACTTAAGCGATTATTCGCTATCTAGTTCTTAAAATTCGTCACTTTCTACAGTAACTGAGATTTACACAGTGAAAATCTTACAAACTGAAACTGAGTTTCAAAATCTGTCCAAATTCACAGATGCGAAAATCGATCTTAACAGCAGTTACGCAAAAGTGTTAACAAAAATGATTATTGAAAGCAAACGAAAAGACAAATTAAACTCTAAGTACTACGAATGTGTTTCAATAGTCTCTGCATATAAAGAAAAGAAAAAAAAAAAAAAAAGAGTCTGCGTGTGTATCTTTTGTTCGTGCTGCGCGTAAGCTAATAGACCCAGGGCTACGAAATTTGGTACATAGGTGCATCTACACAAGAGCCAGTACACCACGAAGCGATTTTTTAAAAAATCTAATGAGTTTTTTTTAATCTTTCTTGATGAAATAGCATCATTTTGAATAGTTTCATTCTTTTAGAAATATGGTTTTGGCAACAGTTTTTCATTCAATACTGGACTGCTGACTTTTCTCTTGAAAATATTAGATTCATTGCTTATTTCATTATAATTTTTTTATATTATGCTTTAATTATATAAAAAGTTTTGCATTTGTTTTAGGAAACAAAGCTCTGAACTTCTTTTGTACCATTTGAATTCTTAAGATTTTGCAACGGGAAGTGGGTTAATTTATTTATAAGGGTAATTAATATTTGTATTAAGGGGTATTGCTTATTTCATTGTACTTTTTTAATATGTGATACATTTTATAGATTTATTCAATTTTTTTTTTTTTTTTTTTTTTTTGATAAATTGTTCTGCAGAGTAAAATTCTGTGCAGGTTTTAAATTTAATGTTTGGTGTTCCCTTTAAGCGTTTTTACGGTGGTGCTTTTACTTTTTTTTAGCACTACTACTTATTAGCACTTTTTTTTAGCACTAAAAGCCAGACGAAGGCTGGCCGCGTAGTGGCTGGTTGATAATATAACAGCACCGCATATAAATAAAATACAAAATAATATAAATGATACAAATTTAATTTTTTTCTCGTAGGTTTTCCCCATATTTTTATTTATTTATTTATTTATTTTTTCATCTTGGAAGATATTTGCCAGCCCTAGATTTTGAGAAACTCAAAATTATTGCAAATTATTTTCATAAAAAATATCTTACATTTACCCGCTAAAAATTTCAAATTTCATTTCGTCAAGTCGCTGCTACTATGGGATATTAATTATCTCAAGAAAGTACTGAAATCTATAAGCATTTCACTTAATATGGATAGAGAATATGTGAATTATTTTTTGACATACTTTGTGACACCATCGCTCCATCTTCCAGGTCTCCGTTGAGATCTCCCATCTCGATCCCGAGCGAAGAGGCGCCACGTAAGAAAGCTTGTGCGAGTACAGAGGAATTCCCATCGAACTCGGTTACGGGCATGGGCCCACGTCGTCCTCTAACTTCTATAATGGTAAATAAATTCAATATAATATTAGATTAATACCATGAAGTTGTGTTCATAATTAATTACATTATTTTCCCCTGTTTATAATAGAACAATAAAAGAATTTAGATTTCGGTATCGTCACGGGAAACTCATAACTTCTGAAACTGAAAAATTAGTAGTTACAAATTAGTGGTTCTACCCTGAAAATTATATACGCAATGAAATCGAGTTATCATTAACTTAAAAATATGACAAATTAATTTAGAGGTTTCAAATAGAAAGGAAACCAAACATTGATACACATTTCAAAATTTTTAGGAAAAAAAAGAGGGAAATAACATAAAATTAGCAGCAATTTGAGGACCAAAAGAACAATTATAAACATTTAATGTTTAAAAATAAAGGAACTATCCTTCTAATTTTTATCCTTTATAGCAGTCTAATATTGGAGAAAGATGTCAATCTCCTTTGGAGTTCTTTGAGAAAATTTTACGCGTTAGTATTTATGACCTTTCTGAAACTAAAAGATAGTTTTTAATGGATATGGAATTTTAATTTATGCAGTCATAATTATCAGTAAGCCGTAGATTATATCATTGCCGAAGATTGAATTTAATTTTAATATTTTATTATTGCTATTATTATTTTAGAGTTAACAGACTGTTACCAAAACATTATTACGAGAGTTGGTAATTTAATAGTGATTACAATGGTAAAGATATCTGTAATTATAAATCATAACCCAGATACCCAGATTATCTCAGAAATAAGACAAACCTTGAACTTTCTTCATAAACACAACAAAACAATCGTTTTTCAATGGATCCCTTCACATGTAGGTATCAAAGGTAACGAAAACGCAGACTCACTAGCCAAGAGAGGAACACTTGCGCCACAAGACAGCAAACTGCTTACTCCAGAATCACTTGAAAAGCATATTTTTGAGAAATTAATGGACATTCTTAAAGCTGACCAGGCAGCAAAATCAACAGGCAAATCCTGTGCTAACATTCAAGACACATGGAAAAGGTTTTGTCAAAAACCCTTAAAGATGCTGTGGCAAACATCAGATTGCAAACAGGTCACGATTGCATGGCAGATCATCTAAATAAAATTGGCGTCCTTCCACTAGTACATGCCACATTTGCAATTAGGGCATCATGATTGCAGAGCATCTTCTTATATGCCCAGAACTAGATAAAGAATCTCAGAAATGTGGTGAGATAAGTAAACTATATTGGGATGTCAGAGCTTTCATGAACTCCTTGTAAAGACTACATCTCTTATGTTTCTTTCCTTGTTGTTTAAATTTTTAACTTTTTACTTTTGTTCCCATGTTAATTTATTCTGATTCTTAATTTGTAAATGTTTGTTCTTTTTTTTATTTTTTATCATTGTTCTTGTGCGATACTTGAGTTGTTTTATATGTTTGGATTGATTTTCCCAATATAGCCATATGTAACATAATAACACCTTTTTCGACCGCTTGAATACTGAACTAATATCTCCTGACATCGATGAAAATCGGTGCGGTAGTTTCATTATACCATCAACAAACAGTCTCTAGTTTGTTGACGAAAAAAAAGTGGTGAACTACATAATGCTGCAAATCATTCAGGAATAAATTTCTCGCAGGGATTACTTTAGCTTAATCAGATTCACAAGGGATACAGTCATGAAAGTATTGAGGATAGTTACAATACTTTCCAACCCGTCTTTCCCAGCAGGTCTTAGACAACATAAGACATATGACAGCAAGTCTTAGGCAACATAAGACACATGACAAAAAGAATATACATAGCTGCCTTCTGATTTAGCTTCATATGAAATTTAAATACAGGCACTGGAATGTGTCCAAAGCAGGAACTATAAAATATCTGAAATCACTCTCGACGTTGCACCTACTAGAACCAGAAACTAGGAAGAGAAATAACTAGTAGCAGAAATGGGGATTTATTTTATGACCGGAAAATCAGATTATAATTATCGATACATGTTCATGTCAATCATTATAATGTAAATAATTCATGAAGTCTAACCAGGCACAGGTGTTCTAGATGCTCTTCGATAGTTCTCTGCTTTTTGAAAGTACCGTCGAACACCCTGAGAGTTCCATTCAGGTCCAGCCCTGGCAGACCAATAATTGTCAAAATCTGACTTCGCTCCCCACATATGCAACATGTAATTGAGAATACTAGTGCCGCCCAATACTTTTCCTCTCGGCCACGCTGATTCCTGCAAGAAAAGAATGTGATGCCATTCAGTTAGTTCCAATTAAATTATTTGATACTTTTAAATATATAAATATTAAAAAAAAACGGAAAGCTTTCAGATTTTATATTACGCCCAAAGGAGCGTTTCTTTAACGTTTTGTGTTGTTACTTTTATTTATTAAATATCATGTTCTTTGCACTTAAACCATAAAATTCAATTCAACAGAAATATCGCAAAATAATTTAAAAAGAGCATATTTTAAGAATTTCCGATACACAGTCTCGCGCGCTGGAGATAAAAATGTTTGTTTTTTTCGTACAGGGTTGCTATTGCTTGGATTGAAATCGTTAGTTTCTTAATCAAAAACTTATAAATGCTTTACAAAATACGAAATATATAATAAAAAAATTCCAAATTTAGGCTTCCAGATGCCCATATTCGAGTGGAGGCGTACGTTATTTAAAACTTAATGGCTCTAGGTACCGTTGTTTTATCACAATGCGAGAAAAATATATACATTTATGCAGATTCCTCATTATTTAATTTCTTTAAATAAAATACAAGTCGATACAGGGCACGACCGAAAAGCCGTAAAATCAGACTTAAAGCAAAAAGCGTCGCCAAAGGCAGAACATGTTCTACTAGGAACTTCTAAGCTCTTCTACTGAAATGACCGAGACTTCAACATAAATACTGATTTTTACCTCATTTACATAAAACGCGATCCTGAAAACTCATTCTGGTGGGGAATCGTAGGTGGGAAACAAGAGAATAAAGAAAAGGCTAGCTCAAAATTAAAAATAACCCCTAGGAAACTAAAATAAACCCCTTTAAGCTGTTTTATCTTAACTGAGTGTTTATCTTTTTTGTCAGTATGGGCTTTTGTCAAATGTTTCCTAATCCTCATAGATTCGTTTTACGAAGTCTTATTGAATAGGTAGCACGTAATAGGTTGTAGAGTCACTAGGTTATTTTAAGCAGAAAATGTGAAAATTTTGCAATGCTCTTGCCGGAACTCGAACCTGAACCGCTCGAATACGCGCCGAGTGTGGCAACCGTTACACCAATGCTTTCTGGAAGGAGAAGGAAATGTTATGGTCATAAGACCAAAAGGACCTGACTAGGAACAGAGAGCTTACTAAAGCTATGTTCACTAATTGTAGTAAGTAGACAGGATACAGACGATGGGTATACAAAACCCTTTATTTTTCTCTATATACAATAACTTCCGTACTTCGGAATACAATGACCCGCCACTCGGGGTCTAACGTAAAAGTATAAAAATAAAACTAAACTCTAATTTAACTTTAGAATAATACACGTGGAAGATTGGCCTTATAATAACAGGAAGCGTATGTAGCACAGAGACTGTGAACACTACAATACGTTTAATTTATCAAGAGGATTAAAACCTCTGGCCTGGAAGGCAAACAGCAACTGCGTAACTTCTAAGGTAAGCGGCCTGCGTTGACTCACTGCTTCCTCTCTTTCGCTTGGCAAAAAGGCCACACTTAAATACTTGGCGTTCGCCACACAAACTTTGCATAAAAAACCTTCACGCTTATAATTCTGTCTGGCCGGAAGTAGAAAATAAGAAGTGATAGTAAAGATTTAAAAAAAAATAAACGTTAGTAAAACTTAAGATCCTTACATACTTCCCGCCAGAGTTAATTAGTTTGAAACTGAGGTCTAAAAACGACCTTGTTGAAAACTTTTAGCTCTAGAATCTAACGCGAGGCCATCTTTTACAAACATAACTTCGCTAGAAACTAGAAATTTAAAAGAAAGAAATTTGTTACAATAGCAGCTCCCAGGATATACAACAACTTTTTTTCATCTGTACTGTATCTACACAGGAGCTTTTATTCAATTCTGGTTCCTTCCAGATCTGGAAGGAAAACTAGTTTAATGAAATGTTACACAATGGACATGGCAAGTAACATATACAATTATACTGCTCTTAACATTCTTATTTCATTCATACCTTTATTTAATTATCCTCCCCGTGGTCTCTGACATGTGTTGTAAAGAGAAACACCAAACTCGAGCGTGTCTATGTGCTAAGTGTTCCAACACTAGCGCCTAGAATCAAAACACTAACGTGTTAAAATTCAACATAACGAGACCTCTAGAACACACCTTACATTTCAACTCTAAGCCCTGAGGTACTATTCTAAGCAAGTCGGCTAACTCTGCAAGTTGTAGCGTCAGAGAGCCTACGACTACCTTTATTCATTCCAACATTGCGCCATACGCTTTTCTTTACAGTCACACCATTAAGTTAAAACTTTGGCATTTACACCATATTTTCACTTTTAACCATATCACAGTACTTTTTAACTTCTAAAGTAACAGTTCACCTGTACATAAAGAACACATTAAAATGCCATGCCGTTAATTTTACGCATTTCAAAACATACATTAGTAGACATTGTTAACTTCTATTCTTTTCAAAGCAAGTGCCAATTCTTTCTACATTGAAATAATACATTTCAAAAGTCTTTCAGACTAAAACTTCTCTCTTGCTAGAAGGTTTTAAATAAAATTTATACAAACCTTTTACAATATTTAAGTTTTTAAACACAACGCTATTATACATCACTTTAGTTTTACGCACGAGTAATTGAAAGACTAATACGAAAATCGGTCACAACTCATTTCTCTCGCCCTTTGGCGATAAAGGTAGACCTCGCATGAGGTAAAACTTCTTGAAATCTGCCACTTGCAGTAAGAATGAAAGATTAACTTAAGTTTGCAAAGTACATAAAATTTTTACTTTATCTTTGTAATATTCGGACATCCTTTTCTGGGCCCAGTCTTTAAAGGTACTGCAGATAGTAGCTTGATTTATCCTCCTTCTTGTACGGGCTCGCCCTTCAGTGCTTTCCTCTGGAAGCTTCCGTTTTTCACCAGTTCGGCCACCCTTGAACACCTTCCTTTTCTCCTCTGCTTGTGGTCTTGGCCGTTTGAAGGCAGCTGGTCTTGGCGGAACCGGGAAACTTCTGTCGTGATCCTGCGACACACTCACCATTTTTCAAAGAGAGCGAGCAAAATACAAAAGGATGATCATCCAGGCCAAAGTAACATCTTGGAGAGAGTTCTGTTCCAATACAAAAGAAGTATACGGGCTGCATCACAAGATAGCAACGGGGAAGGTGTTCAAGCCTTCGCAGCTTCAAATCCCGTCATCACTGGATAGCAGCCAAAGCTAAACGACTGACACTTTGAATGTAGTTTTAAATACTGTGTTCAGTCAGGACGATGCAGAGCAGACCCCGCCGAACAAGCTGCCCTTCGAGCAGATACAAATAGTATAGATACAGATGCAGATCCGGAATTCACGATTCAAGAACTGCAGAGAGTGCTGGACAAGTCGGCCGCGTAAAGAAAGCCCCCGTGACAGACGGCATGGACTACACAATCGTAAAAGCTACCATAAAGGCATACCCTCTACATTCTTCGTAAGCTATTTCAATAAGCTTCCTGTCAGTAGGACTTTTTCCAACACCATATAAAATAGCACAAGTGGTATTATTCCTCAAGAAAAACAGAGATCCTTCAGAAGCCTCATCATTCAGACCCATCTGCCTTTTGTCGGCGATGGGGAAGGTGTTGGAAGAAGCTAATCATCAACAGACTGCGCCACCACTTGCATCTCAATTGTTATCTCAGCAGCAGCCAATATGGCTTCAGGACTGGTTCATCGACGGTGCATGCTCCTCCATAATATAAGGAGACAATTCTGGAAAATAGACACAGCGGCTATGGTCAGCATAGACCTAAAGAATGCTTTCGATACGCTGTGGTGGCCGGCTATCAAGCAGGCATTACGAAAGGGCCAATTGCCCAAGTAACATATATAGTATATAATAAGCAACTACCTGCAGGATCGGAAGCTATTAGCGGTGCATAATGCAGGCATTATCGAAAAGGTGCAAACTAGAGGATGTCCGCAAGGATTGTGCGCCGGGCCGCATTTATGGAACTTAACGTTCAATGAAGTACTGACAGCGACGTGGCCGGCGCACACTAAAATCATTGCATACGCGGATGACGCGGCGCTTATCGTAAAGGGTACCACGCGAGAAAAATTACAGAAAAACTGCAATGAAGTTTGCGCGATCTTTCATGACCAGTGTACCAAACTTAAACTCACAATTGCAGAACATAAGTCAAAGTCCTTTTAATTCCGAAAAAAGGAGGATCCTTAGTAAGACGCCACCCCACCATAAAGATTAACAACCAACGTCTGCAGATAGTGGACCAGCTAAGATATTTAGGGGTCACTTTTGATCATAAGATGACCTGGATCCCTCACGTGCAGGATCTCAAACTCCGGACGGCAGCCATAGCCAAACAAATAAAACTCTTTTATGGTCACAAATGGGGGCTTAACCCCCATATTCAAAAGGTATTGTACACGACAGTCATCGAGAAGATAGTGACGTATGCTGCCGCAGTATGGGCCTACCCAATGCAAGGAAGGAAGGTCAGACATCTTAACAGCATACAACGACCATTCGCATTGGAAATCACACGGGCCTACCGCACCACCTCCACCGATGCCATTAACGTACTTGCTGGTCTCCTTCCCCTGCACATCCGGGTTGAGGAGGAGGCAGCACGCCAACACATTTTGCAACTTAAGAAGGCAGTTTACTTTTGATGATGAAACAATACTACCCGGATGAGTACGAAACAAACTTCTGCCCTCTTGACGTCCACCCGGCAGAGAAAGGCAAAGGGATACTTATCTCAATTAATTCCACTGCAACTCATCACTCAAGGGAAATGACCATCTATACAGACGGGTCTAGATTGGACGAAAGAGTGGGATGCGCCTATGTCGCCACGAAACAAGACTACGCAATCGAGAAATGGAAGGGACAGTTAAGACAACATAACAGTGTCTTTCAAAGCGAAACAGTGGCAATTGCACAAGCGATTCGCTACCTGCACTCGCACCAGCATAGTCATGTCACCATTAAAACGGACAGCTTATCATCGTTATATGCCATTTG